CTAATTTAGAGAAATCTGGATGGACAAACGCCTCACCGACATAGCCTGAACTGAAAAAACAAGCAAAATGCACTTGAAAATAGCACAGAAAAAAAAGATTTTTTTTTTTGATTGAAGATGTACAGTTATGCTGACTATGTAGTAAGAATGGGAGATAACAGATGGACGAAACGAAGTACAGAATGGCATCCATAAAATGCTAGAAGAATACGGAGAAGGCCGCCAAATGCCAGCATTGTGAGGAAGAAGCAAAAAGTGCGAGCATGAACCCAATAGCATTTATGCGCACTGCACCTTCTCTCTTTCTGTAGACTTTCACAAATCAGAATTTTGAAAATTTAAATTTGTTCATTCGAGTTGGCCCGTGGTACCACATCCCCGTTGATTCGAACCCGAGAGAATTGAATTAGAAGGTCACAGTGACTTCGGACTGCCTCCCAGCAACCTGCAGCAGAGGAAACCAGCACCAGCACTGCCAGACCCTTCGCCCAAGCTGATACTATCAGCGTTATCAGAGTGCTTCTTTATCTTTTCGACCGACCGTGCAATAGAGTTGCCGGAAATAGTACGCGTCGGAAGGGAGGCAAGAAAATAAGAACTAAACGAAGAGCTGTCGGCAAGTCTGCGGGAGTTGGCAGTAATGGCGCGGAGATTTGGCGCTCAATCGGGAGAGCTATTGAAGGGAGGGATCCGGGATTTTTTGTGGGATTGGGGCAAGGGGTGGGAGGGATTCCCGGGTAAACATTTTGGGAGTTTTTATTCCCAGTAACTGACTGAACAGGGAACTGAAAGCACAGGCGGATTCAGCACGGTTTCCTGGTGACGGGGGACCACAGAGGTGGCGAAGGCAGTTTTCTTCAGTTTTAGCACTGCTAGAGCTCAGTATTCCCTAATCGTGTTTGGACAATATTTGTACAGGCACATTTTTCATTCTGATCGCCTATGCGATTTCAGAATTTTTGTTACATATTTTATTATTGCAAGCAACGGCACCAGCATTAGTAATGCAGAAATTCAAGAATCAGGAGATGCCTTATCCACACCCACTCCATCAAGTACAG